ACCGAAAAGGATACGCCAAAAGCTACTGTGAATTCCCCCTGCCACACCAACGGCGTTACAAAAAATTCCCAATCCCTCGTTCATCTATCCCCTGCATTCTTGCCGTCCCAGTTTGCTTTTTCTTATCCTAGTCAATTCTCTCGTCATTCACTCCAAAAAAGCTTGCAAATGTACTGTAAAGGTGGATGAGCTAGTCAACGATGGATTTTACCTAACCGCAGCAAGAAAAGATCGATTTAAATGGCAAGAATGTAGGGAATTGACAAACAAGGTGTGCATGAACTTATCTGGATACTGGTGGTTTCGCGTCGCCTACGTGATGCCACGTCGGTCTAGAATCTACAAAAGTAAGGAATATTTGCTAGAAATATTGATTAAATCAAAAGAGAAAGGGGCTGAGGACGTGTTCCGCGGTTACTCCCGTTCATTCCCGTCCAAACAGCGGTGTTCTAGCAGGTGGCCTCGTCCTTCGAAAAATTACGAAGTAGTTTAACTGTATAATCGTTTCTTTGGGGTGACCTACACGAGAGGCCTGGTCGCGCAAAATTTGCGCCGTTAATATATTGTGCTATAAATAAGAGGACGACCCCCTGGACGAGATCATCTGGTGAAACTATCCCAACTCCCATTCGCCAACCTCTTTCCCTCTGCGGTCGACACTACCATGGCCCCCCCTGTAGCCGTCGACAGCGCCACGTCTCTATTGGTTGTCTCGCAAATATGTTGGTTTCACCCCCTATCCAGATAGATTATCTTACATATGCGACATTATCTTTTTCTTATATTGTTAAATGTTACAACCAAGCTAATTTTTCGATCAGAAGCATAACTGTTATATAAACCTAGCCCACTTTCTATCCTACTGCTCTACTGTGTGTGGTGACGTATTTAGCGGCTCCATGTAGCTCATTCCTAGCGGATAAACGACCCAAAGTTGTCTGCTTAGTCGAGTTCGCGTCATTTCCGGCCACTATAGCACCCCTTATTCCCTGCGTACAGATCCCGACCGCCTGCAGGACAGGGCCAAGCACGACATAGAACACTGTTGAGGAAATCAACGGGCACTGAATTCTAATGAAGGGAGGAGGGACGCGGGGTTAGTGCATTGAACGGCCTCTATTCGCTTCGTCTATAACCTTCCGATCGTGTGTCGTCCATATGGGCCAAACAAGGATTTTGCTGACGGCAGTCTGTCTGCTATGTTGCGCAGACCATCATAACGGGAAACGAGATTCAGGATGTCTAATTCCCAGCTACAGTACGTGACCTTTCTCATGAAACCTGATGACCGGAAGTGATATGAGAATTTTTGGAAGTCTCAAATGCTGCGCAGTACTTGTGCGGAAATTGTGCCCACGTAACTTTTTCAAAAACATGGTCGTAAATCTGGGCGAAAATGGACGTCACGATATACTCGGGCGATTTCCTATTCTAGTGCTTGTCCTAGGCTTTGAGTGCACATCTGTGCGAACTTTCCTCTGAGAGGAGAGTAATTTGCCCTCATGAGTTTTAATAAACACAATTTGCTGGACTTTGAAACTGATTTTTCGTCCGATGCTAACGGTAGGAATCAACTTCCTAACACAGGTTATTTTAAGAAAACCAGATGTTTTATCGAATTCCAGAAGTCAAATTAGCACTCTTATCTCTGACTCTCCGAGATTATACCTGTCATAAAAAGGAAGCTGGGAATTTCGGGCTGGCTCCCATCCATGCTAGGGTCCTCTGCTTCGAGATTGATATCTCACATGTAATTGGTACGTCTGCGATCATGCCTGATCTAACCGACCTCGAAGATGTCTCGAACTGCACCTCTCCACGAGTGACGATCCGCGGTAGCAGATCTGGACAGCTGAACCCATTCTCTTCGCTAACGTCGGGGACCGAATACCGAAGGTCCGAGTACAACCTCCATGTCTTGACGAACTGTGTCGAGCCAGGTTTTGAGTTGACCCCCTCAACGAGCCCTGCCGGACGATAGTGCCCGATCGAGGGCATTAACACTGAACTCCTGAGGTGGACGACGAAGAACATGCCCAAACCACCTCAGTCGCCTTTCTTGGATGGCCTGGGTTATCCTTACGAGGTTGTTGCAGTGAGCGCGGACTGTCTCATTTAAGACGAACTCGGTGTACTTCACTCGAAGGATGGTCCTCAAGCAGTGGTGGTCAAACACCTCCAGTTTTCGTACGTCCTCCACGCGCACAGCCCAGCATTCACAACCACAGAGAAGGACAGACCGGCCAGATGCACGACACATGCGAATCTTGGTGGCGACGATGTCGCGTTGGATCCATAGGCATTTTCTAAGGCTTGAGGAAATCCGCAGACATCACCTATTCGGGAGACATAGTTGTCCTTGCTCTGCCCATTCGGTAGCAGCCTCGTCCCAGGGTATTTAAAACTGTTTACTTCTTCAGGTTGACAGCTATCAATCCCGAGAGGTACCTTCTCCTGGTAGGGATGCGGCTTGAAGACACTTGAGTCTTCCTAGCCTTTATGGATAAACTGATCGATTCAGTGACCTCGTTCACCCACGACACCATAGACTGCAGATCACCGCAACTTGACATAAGTAAGGCGATATCATCGGCATAGTCGACATCAGTCCGTCGGTGTCCGGGTGCAAACGCAGCACTGTCACCTTCATGTAGGGCCCTTTTGAGAATCCAGTCAATAGCGTAGTTGAACAGAATAAGTGACAGGATGCAACCCTGTCGAACGCCAGACCGAATACCATACGGCTGGGAAAGATTGTTGTGGACCAGAACTTGTGCGGTGTTGGAACGATAATATGCCTTGATTTTTGCGATGATCTTTGGCGGCATACCATCTAGTGCCATTATCCGCCACGGGCTCACGATGGACGGAATCGAACGCGGCGACAAAGTCAACAAAGCAAACGACCGTTGGTTGCTGGTAGCTATGACGGAATTCGAGAATGCGTCTCGGTGTGAATGCTTGGTCCGCACATCCACGTCCAGCGCGAAATCCGCCTTGGTTGGACCTCGTCCTAGAGCCACACACAGCCTGAAATCACCTGAGAAGGACAGTAGGAGATCATCGCAGCAACGTCGATGAGGCTTATGTCGCGGTAGTTCTCGCAGCTCGTCTTATCTTCCTTCTTGAGGATAGGTACAAGGATGCCTAAGCCCCATTCGTCAGTAGCAACCTCGCCTCTCCACGCTTGTTCAATCACCTCATGGAGCCAGGGCTCCAGAGTGTGGACACAAGAAGGGGAGTCGCATGACATTGCAGAATTTGGAAAGGGGAAAAACTCCGCTTCAGAGGAGACCAAGGACCTGGCGGGTTGGCTATCGCGGTTGAGGTAGTGCTCGAAGTGCTTACGTCAGCCCTCGAATTTAGCCGAGTTGTCAGCAATAAGGCCGCCATTCACGTCGCGAACAGAGTCAGTCAGTGTAAAGGGCTTACCGCTAACTTGGCGGGTAGGTTGGTAAATTATTGAGTGTCACCGACGTTCGAGGCCTGTACCACGGAGGTCGCTATCTCAGCTCAATAGTGCTTTCGGTCATTTCTGGCCGACTTTGTCGCCATCTTCCGAAGGACTTTCTCAGCTGCCCCATAGACTGACGTTTTTACTGCCTTTTACGTCAGCTCGGGTCGTAAACAGGTCCAGATTTCTCTGCTCAGGGCCTCGGTAGTGCTGGTTTGCCGGATTTTGGCGACATCGAGGCATCTAGGACGTGGCATTTATGGCACGGATGAGAAGTGGACTTTCAAGCGTGTACGAACGAGGACATGTTCCGACCCATGGGCGTTACCAGTCTCGGCACCACGCATCGATCTGCTATCGTGAACCTTGCTGCGAGCAGATATTTGTTATGATACTGGGAGCACGTGTTGGTGACAAGCAGTCGGTCCTGGTCAGCGAAGTTCAGCAATCTCTAGCCATTTTCACATGGGGAACTAATCCCAAAGCAGCGAAGATGACTGTTTGTGGAGTCGCCAGGTCAAGTCCGACCATTAAAATCCCTGGCAACAATCAGCAGATCGCGGTGAAGGAGTCTTTCAACTAACGCTTGCAACTGCGAGCAAAACTGCCCTTTGTCGCACTGTTCGGCAGCTGAAGTTGGTGCGTACTCAGAAACAGTGGAGATGTTCGTGAAGTGACCATTCAGTCGCATCCGGTCATTAACTGGTTCCCAAGCAAGTAACGCGAGGTCTGCTTGTCACTAGAAGTCGATAGCCTCACTGTGTCGACCAGAAGAGTCGCGCAGGCGGCTGTGGTACAGGGTGATGTGTGATTCGACTCCAGGGATCTTTATTTCTCGAGAGCCTGAGTCAGGAAGCCGAACATCGGACAGATATCAGACATCCACTTTGTGCTGATTAAGGCTGCGCACGGTCAGACTTTGGGTACCAGGGTCCAGGAACATCCGTACATTCCAGCGTCCGATACCGAGAGTCCGTCCCCGATTGAGTAGTCCAGCTCGCGTACCATTTGCCCGCACCACTGGACCAGGGTTGCGGATCGCCTCGGTTCCCGCGAACTCCGTAGCATGGGTCGTAATATTGTGATCGGGTATATTTCATGAGGTTTCTTGGGAATATCGAATGCGGGCGGGTCCCCAACAGCCGCTCGGATTGTTTGAGGTTGTCCCCTCTAGCGCTTTGGGTTAAAAGCCTAAATACAAGACAGCGGTGGTAAGCAGACTTATTTAATGGCGGCTCACGGTTGCCGTGTCACAGTGCCGTCATCGGGCTTTGCGATTTTTTTATAGGGATTTCAGCGTGCTAGGCCTCAGCCCTCCGCGCCTTGGCAGCACTGTCGCTGCTGGTCCGCGACTGCCTATTCGTCAGATCCGAGTCTGCTTATTTCGCAGCTAACCTTCACTGAAGGCCGTTCACTATCCGCCACCCGTGGACGCACCGGGTAGCCAGCAGCTAGGCTGACGGGCAAAGCGTCTTCCAATGGCAACCCGTCTGCCCGGCAACATTTCCCCCCGGACAACCTGTCCTCCCGGCAACCCATCTTCGTCGAGTTTCATGTTAGTGAAAATAGGAGCAGAAAACAATGTTACTGGAGACCAAAAGTCTTATAGGTTCATGAGTGCAGTTTGTTGCTCGTTCCGACGACAGCTAGCCTTGAACTTGGTGTTCCCCCACTGCAGCCGCGGCGTACTGAAGCGCAGCTTCACCCTTTCTGGGCACACTGTTTCCGTAGGTCAGTCACGAGTTGTTCCTTTAAAGGCGTTCTTCGACCATTATCGCCGCATCTTAACTGTACTAATATGCAACTTTTGGACAGGCCCTGTTACCTTGTTAGGACTCCACCTGTTCCAGAAAGTCCTAGAAGCTTCCTTGCTCTTTAAAAAAACTGAATGTCTACTGCCTTGATCAGGTGGATAAGTGGTTTCTTATCTTAAATGTATCCGGTTTTAGAGCATGGATATGCCTGAAAAAGCGGAATTACAAAGGAAATTGGAGTTACTTCGAAAGATCTATGAAGAAGTTGCGCCTTATATTCTTTTTTAACGCTCAGATTGCAGGACAGGTTGGAGAATATGAAGCGTATATGCGAAAAATACAGAAACGCAGGAGTCGCGGCCATGAACGAACTTCTGGAACTGACTGGAGACCCGAAACCGTCACCTTTCGAAGTGATGCGAACGGCCGGTTTCGACCCTCAGGTTCTCGGTTTTGATCCGGACACTTAGATACCCTCGGCATGAATGTCAGTTTGTTACAAAATTTCATACTTCTTTCCCCATCCAACTTTTTCACGTTATCCTGAAAGAGGCTGTCCTTCCCCTGTCAATTCATCCGCGATGAGGCCTCTGATCGCGCTCTTGGGGAAAGAGTATGATAGTAAAGGACGATAACATTGTCAACCAAGGCAGTTTCCAGTCCAGGTAACCACGTGACGCGCCTTGCACTACCTGGTTTCACGATATTGGTCAGTTATGGTGCTATCTTACGAAGTTGCTGGAAATTTGTGTACTTTCGGGCGTTATAGTCATCGGCTGGTCCTGATACAATGCTGTAGCAGAAAACGACTGCTTGGGAAACGTTCGAACTTCGTACAATCCACAGGGCCCTGTTAGCAGTGCAAAACTGTTTTGGCAGGGGAATGTGATGAAGCTGCCGCTGGTTTTGCGTCCGCGCCATGCCCGTTGTTTATAACCAACCGTTCATGGGCCATCAGTCAATGGGGACTGAAAATTTGAATGTCGTTAGATCTCTGTGGTGCATACCTTGGCAAGTCAGGAGCGGCCAGACGGGCAAATGAACGTGCGGAACCCTCGTCAAGAGCACGGCGACCCTCTTGCTGGTTAGCTCAAGTGATGCGCATTAATTACTGGAGCACCTACGAAGTTCGTTTACGGATGCTTTCAGCTCGCGCTACCTGCAGAACAGAAATCAGGGGCACTAGGTTCGTATCTCCCGTTTCGTCAACAGGTTGGCATCTCTTTGGTTCGAAGACTGACTAGGAGTAGTATAGATTACGCTAGTGATTCCTGACTCGGGAAAGCGATGGATATTGCTCTCTAAGTATGCATACGCTTGACATCCCCATCTAATCTATTTTGCCATTAGGGTTTCTTTATCGGTTACGTCTCTTCCAGAATGACCTACTTCGTGTACCTTAAATGCTTCACTGATTTTGTCACGGTGAATATTACGTTCGCCGCATTCTTTTCTAGCACTTCAATCTAATATCCTCGTATGCATTCGCAGAAGGGTATAATTATACTTGGTACAACTGTGCTTATGTCTTAGCTAGCCGGCTTCGGTGATGTCGTGAATCATCCCTCTTCAGGCGTTACGATCTACGGCAATGCATCTGGGAGCTCCAGTGACGGAGGCCGAATACGAACGGTCAAGTAATTACGTTTCTCAGCAAATTATGTCGAATTAAATGTTAAGTGAGCCTCTTCGATGCCTCTAGGCGTGCAACGGCGCCGGGTCGAGGGCAGTAACATCGAGCTCATGAAGCGGACGGCGAAGGACGTGTTCAACCCACCTCACCTCTCTCTTAGATGACCTGTGATACCCTCGCGATGTTAACGTAACGAGAACGGGTTTTCCTGTTCAAAATGAAGTCAGTGTACTTCAATCGAGGTATGTCCCTCAGACAGCGGTGGTCGAAGAGCGCCGTTCTTCGCACATCTTCTACGCGTATAGCCTGTCATTTACAGCCGTACAGGAGAACGGACTGGAGGGATACCTGGTATACGCGGATTTTTGCAGTGATGGAGCTGTCCCGTTGGACCCGGATCGTGATGACTAAGAGCAGCCTCCATTCGGGAAGTGATGTCCTAACTCCGCGCATTTGACAGAAGCCTCGCCCCGAGGTGTTTGGCTGTCTTCAAGTTGACTGCCACTAATCCCTACAGGCGCGTTTTGCTGACCAGAGAGGCGACTGGGAAACACTTCGACCTCCCAGTATTTATGGGCAAACCCACCGACTTAGACTTAGCCACTTCATCCACTTGTGACATGACAGTATAGGTCAGCAATGCATGAGGCCAATAGTGTAATCTTATCAGCAAAGTTAAGATACGTCAGTCGGCCCCCGAGTACAAATCCGACACCGTACAAACCCTGTAAGAGCCTTCCGAGAAGCCGGTCAGTGGCGACATCAGCAGATGCTCCTATGCACGCCACCATACGCGTCGGCCTGGATACGTCGTTGCAGCCCAGACACTTGCCGATACCACCCCAGGGAATACCAACGTGCCAGACTCGGGGCGACTGGCGAACATACCGATGGAAGTATGAATTGACAACTTATCAAACCGACTGGGGCACGGCCATGCCGGACTCTGCTGCGCGTGATGCGGCCATACAGCGGTGTCTTGCGATATAGACCCATTAAATACTCAGTTAATGCCAACGCTGACCGCAAGAATGAAAGCAAGTGTACTTTTAAGGCGAACTTCGTGGTTTACGTCAACTTTGATGACCGGTTGGAATCCTTAGTTCTACAGACTGATGCTATGTATAGAGAAACCAGATACCTCGACACAGTAAACCGCTGATACTCTGTCCGTAGACAGGTCGGACGTAATCCCGTCACCCCTGTACCCGAGAATTTACATAGATCCTCAGCGTACTTGGCAATACCAGAGCCCGTAAGACCCACGGAAAAGTGGGTCTCGAACTAGGTGTCAAATGCCCCATCCCGCTTTAGTTTGTTATCGACCGTTAGGATCGGGAATAACTGCGTAGTCGTCCTGGATGATTGGCGATACGGCCCGGGGCACTGGAACCGAACTCGTTTACAACATAGATATCGGACGACCATGAGGAGTATCTTGGTTGTACTCAGGAGTGTTGAATTGTTTCCTCGTAGTTTCCATGTAGTTCTTTCGGTAATAACGCCGCTGTGTTGTGCCGGTTAAAAGAGCAAACAAAGTGTGCGCAAATTGAGTGGCTTCTGATCTGGCCGGAGAAATAGTGACCCTTCCACATGCGCGCAGAAATTATGCTGATTATGGCGTCGAATCACAGCCAGCTGCGCTACTCCGTCAGTGTCTTCCTCGGTGTCTCCTAAACCTCTCGACTGCGTACTGTTTTCCGAGGGGTGGCTAGACTAAACTACGAGGCAAGTCACGCAACCGAATGTAACTATTGTGGTGATGGCATCTGCCGTCTTGACTTTGACCTCAACGTCTTTATTGCCACGAGGGGTTCTTACTGCAAACAAAGGTTACTAGAGTAAATACACTGGACATGAGGAAGAAGAGTGCAGGTGGTTAGGATTTAATTATACGACTTTCCTAAGGTTATGCAAATATGGGTCTGGAAGCCTGTCGGAGTTTTCTGATAGATGAAAGACTAAAGGCATTACTTGTGGGGATGGCAGCCGTGACTGGTTGTTTCTAAGACTAGAGTACTGATGCTATGTTTATGCTGGTAAAAAGTCGACAACGAGGCAGTGGATGTAGTCACTCAGGCTGATACTATTGACATGCGCCGAATAACAAGTATCCGAAGTTACCAATCGCGTACTGCACGTTGAAGAAACAGAGCGTCCACCTGTAAGGAAAGCATGAAATCGGTTAGTTTACTCGATGTAAATGGACATTACGAGACTGAATGTCCCGGAGATTTAACTCCAAGTCCTGCACTGATTAATTTCTGAAATTATTCACCTGATTATTCTCTGGAGTTCATATACCAGAAACCGCGACAGAACGCTGGGGGTCCCACTGAAGAGCCGAACCCCTCGCAGCTGTGTCACATCATCTCCGATGATGTGCTCGAGCATGAACACGAAACGTAAGATGAATAAACCTTCTTCCCCAGAGATCGCCTCATCCTCCTCTTCCATATTAACACCTGGGGTCAGAATTTTTGCCTATATCCATATATATATATATATATATATTATGACAGTGGGCGCTCGCCGATCAGGTTACGGAACATGCTCGTTCCGTTGTGCCTTGGGGCTCATACTAGAACCCTCGCAGGCAGTCGCACAGCGACTAGTAGAGTGATGTAAATCAGGTGGTATATATATATTTCGGAAACTCGTTTCCATAATCCACAGGCAAGTTACACAGGTTAACTTGCCTTGTTGTAAACTGCTTTCAGTTGCAGACCTGAAATCCACGTGAACAAGGTCAAGGAGCGATTTTCCCAGCACATCTTCGGGAACCATTTCTGGGGGCACATACCTAAGATAAGAATAAGCCACAAAGGTTAGACAAATAGGTTAGAAACGCGGCCATTCACCAATTGATTACTTGAATGTGTGCCTTCTCCAGTCGTATAGCGAAGGGGTATATCACGTAGTGGAATTTTCGTGATTACAATCTGATAATATACGACCTCGTGATAAACATGAATTTGAGGTGGCGCCAGATTGTAGTAAGCGTGTACATTAGTTCACTATTATGCGATTAATTTATGCGTACATATAATCAAGCTAATAAGGGAGTGCGGTTAAAAAAAAGTAAAAATGGCGACAGCTACAGCAAGTACTACTGCGGATTCCAGCAAGAGATCTGCACAAAGGCTAAAGCAGCCGTCAATTTCGGCGCATCCCTGGATGTACCGCTTCTTAAAGTCGCCAAAATTTTCCACTTTTGATCCGCGCGTTATTTTGATGTCGGAGCGTTTGTGCGTACCAGGACTGGGCGATTTTGAGCACGAAAGGGAAAACTTGGACGGCTGAGGCGCGATTTTGACAGCGTGCGTCAAAAGAAGGAGAAGCGTTCAAAAAAGTAAATGCTACGAGTTTAACCACAACCGAAGGCTTAAAGTCATTAAGCTCTGCAAGCCCACGGGATTTTTGTGCGCTTTAGACTGCATTTCTGTAGATCGTCAACAGGTGCCCCAACACCGGCTGCCTGTCGGTCTTGGCGCACGGGCAACGCGCGGGTCATGGTCGTTCTTACATTCCAGTGCAAAGTATGTATCAGCCATGAGAAATCTTTGTACAGGTTTTGGATTCAGATGGGGAAAAAGCCAGACACTCACCGACCACTAATTTCCAGCACGTTAAACGTGCCAGGCTGCAGACGCATGGAAAATAGAGCTCCGTATGAGGAGGCAGATTCGCAGAGTTCCAGTCTTTTACACAAGGCTTGGAAAATACTGTCGCTAGAAGCCGACGCGCTAGTTGCGGTTCGATCTTGTTGCCGAGGTAAAACTACAAAAGCGGGAGAAAAGGGCCATAGGATCAACATGAAAATACAGTACGAAGAAGTTGCATAAGTGGTGATGGGCGAAAAAGTGCCGCGTCAAGTCCTCTGTGGGGTCAGTGTATCAAACACCTTTTACTACCATAAATAAGGAGGAAACTGGTGAAGTTCCAACTTGCAACTTACTGATGTCTCCACAAAATTCCACAAAGTAACAATCCGGCGACGGTCCGGCCAAGGGTAGGACAAAATGTCTGCCGAGTGTTTCTTAGAGAGAAAAGGCAGCAATCATTCGGGCGTTCCAAAACGTGACAAACGGTGCGCAGGGCATCAACAAGTCTACTTTCGTTAGGTCAATAGAAATTTCGAACCACGAGAACGGAGAGTCTGATAAAAGTAATTCAAGAGGGAGGAACAATATTCTTACGATAGTTCGCACAAATGACATCTTTTCCAAATAATTAAACTCGGTTCTCAACCACGTTGACGAGATCTCTCCCTCTTAAATAACAAAGCGTCGACGCAGAGACAATTACGACTTTGAGTACAGAATTTTGACTGGTGTGTCAGAAATACTAATGGTGATTAGATTTATGGTCCGCTTTGCAGTCGTTTACTGCTCGGGAGCGAAAATACAGACAGGGGAAAACCCTTTGCGCTGAATGCATTTGCTTCATTTGTTCCAGTTAGCATTTCAGTACCGACACGCCAATTGTAGGGCGAATCAAGTCGAACTCCGGAGAACCCAGTCGTTCCGATCATTCTATCCGATTATGCTTGCCCTATCTCACTTGCCTGCTTGTTGCCGACTGATTACGACAGTGGCAAAATATATTGTTGACCTCGAAAACAGGTGACCGGTAGCCGTTAATTCGAGCAACGCACGACTGCCAAAGTCTGCGCCCAAGGAACAATGCGTCCCCCATTGACTATCGTCCGCAGATGGTTTGGTTATTGAAAAAAAGACACTACAGTTTGCGATGAGTAACTTGAAGCAAGCAATGATAGTGGCACATTTTAAAGCTAATAAAATTCCAAACTCGCGAGCATAGAGGACGGAACAAGCCTAATAGAAGATACATGAGAATGAAGTAGTAACTCACGTCCAGCCGTCAGAGCCTCGATGTCTTCTGTGTCGAGAGCTAAATTCTGCCTAATAACACCCTCAGCAAGTCTGTCAGCCGCAATGAAGTCGTACAAAGTTTTTCCGACGCAATCCGCCTACAAAAAACCACGAAAATTAAACAGTATTGTAGTGAGGCGAATTCGACTTTCGTACTGGCCTACCTCTATATGCATACAGTCAAGGAGGATGTCAGCGCGGAGCATAAGGCAGCAAATAGTAATAGCGGAAAATTTCACTTTATTTTGCTAAATGAGCTTTCTTGGTATCAGTGGGGCAAATGGGACAAAGCGGCAGTAGGGGATTCTTCTCCCAATAATATCTTGCTACCCCGCCCACCCAATTCAGGAGAAGACCCGTAGCAATAGGAGTGTAACGTGCTGTGGGAATAACGAGACTTGCTCATGCCCAATAAGTTTACGGGTATTTTGAGCACAGGTCTTGAATGTGGCCACGGTAGTGGATGACCCTTCCTGAGGAATACTTAATATGCGTTGTTGCCCGAAAGTAATATGGCAAAGATGTGTAGAACATTGCCGTTAACTAGACGACTATGCACAGCCTGTGCAGACGCAGGCGCCCCAGGGATCTGGTGTTAATTCAACTTCAGGAGTTTAGTATAAAACAGACTGCGGAGGCCAAAAGCTGCAAAACAATATGTGGCGTACGAATTCTTCTCCAAGGTGTTCCTTGATCTCTCCATTAACTGACAAAATAGCGCCATCACGACACCGTATACGAAGAGCAAAGCCATCGAAGTTCTGGAGAAAATGTGATCACAGAGGATGACTTTACATTTAACACGCAAGCGGAGTATTCTTCCTCCGTTAGAATTAGTTTCCTCGATTCATTGCTGTTGGTACCTACATAAGACTGAATCGACAGACGAGGGAAACTTACTTGCGTATTGTAGCAGCAAATCGGTTCCTGCCTTGAAGATAGCAAGCTTATCACGATAGTTAGCGGGCGGCAACTGCTGGTGTAAGAAATCTGTTTCCGATTTTAATCTGGCTCTGCGTTTTCGCTCAACTTCATTGTGCGTAAAGCTGTTAAAAATAAAAGGAAGGGGGAGGCACGATAACGGACCACAATTACATTTACAAAATGCTAATGTGTGTCACGGGACGAAGAAATGCATGGTAAAGCGACGCAGAGGCAAAAAATATTTTTAAGGGTATCAGAAAAAAGTACCGAATTTTTGGTCGTTCCGAGCTTTGACAATTGTCAGACGGAGTCCTGCACTTGGGTTTCCGTGGAGCTTCGTCCATGGGAAGTAGACTTACTAAGTCCTAATACTCAAACTGCCATGGCTGCAAGAAGGTCCGGCGAGGGAGGACTAAAATAAATACGTGAAATTATGTTTGAAATTTCGGAGGAAGCCGGTCCTACTTACAGTCCCGGACAAATACAAATTATCCCTAACATTAAATTTTCCTAATAGGCTATGGTTCCCGAGACTTTTATGACTTAACCTTAATAATTTTAACCCTACTGAATTAACAGTAAATGCCTTCCGCCGAGCAGGCCAATAATAACATAGGTTACTGCCCTAGCCTGCTTCTTCCCTGCAATTTTGTTGAACATTCCATCAAGCCGGGAGAAGGCATGGATATACCCCTCATTGAAAGCTCTAGACAAAGCATACGACCGATATGTTTGTGTCCCCTTTTCAAAATGTGCACGAGTACAAAGCCC